TCAGGAGGGAAAAAGACTATTTCTGGGAGGAGTTAACATTTCTTCCGCTTGGTTCTATCTTTGGCCTAACATGTACAGGTTTTTTAGCATGGGGCTTAGCGCATAGTAGGTGCTCAATAAATACTAGTGATGATGCTGATGATGAAGACTCAGACTCTACTGGCAAGGGCAGAAAGGGCAGTTTCCTTTCGGAATAGTCCATAAGGCATCAGGCATTTGTAAAGAAACACTTTATTTTCATCACAAGCACACAGACTATACACAATACACACCAACAGAAGTAAAAAAAAGTGCATTACGCATCTTCTACTGCAAATTCACAGTGCAAAAGATACTGCCTTTTAAATATGGAATAGAAAAAAATAAGAAAAACTATAGAATAAAAAAAAAATCATTGACATCATAACGCAACACACTGGAACCTACTGGCAGCTTCTGAAACCGAAGAGCAACGCTTGTGGGGCTCCAGATGTGACCCGAGGGAGCAGGGGGGCGCTCCAGATGTGACCCAAAGGGGTACGAGGCGGTACCTGCATTTTGCTGCAAAAGAGCTCAGGACACCAACAGGGAGGAAAAAATAGGGCGGGCTAGGTGGTAACAAGTCCCTGGGTGGTGCAAATGGTTAAGCACTTGACTACTAGCCAAAAGGTTGCCGGTTCAAACCCACCCAGAGGCGCCTTGGAGGACAGGCCTGGAGACGTGCTTCGGAAAGGCCACAGCCTCAAAAACCCTATGGAGCAGTTCTACTCTGCCCACGTGGGGTTGCCGTGAGTCGGAATCGACTCGATGGCAACTAACAACAACAGGTAGTAACAAAATCTCTATTAAACCAGACTGCAACTGCGTGACTGGGGAAATGCATGAGGTGCTGGGCTGTGGTTCGGAGGGGGTCTGGACCTCGCCACCCCTCTGCTGGCTAGCAAACGAAATCACGTTCTGTCGTTGGCTACGAGGGGGCCCACGCCAGCCTGTGCCTTCCTCGCCCGCAGGAACTACCAGTGCCGTTTCTAGTGATGCTCCTCGGACACTTATGGACACACAATGTAAGACCGCATAGCAGAGTCAACACAAGGAAGGAGTAGGGCTCACTCAGGTCCCAACAGTCAACTACCAGGGACAAGACCAAGTATCCAATCACAAAAGGTATGAGCTTAACAGTTTCGCATAAATACATAGTATTTGTAAACTATTATTAAGGCACTGAATTGTAAAACAAAAATTACAGTGTAGAAAAGAAAAGAGGGGAGAAAGCAGCTATCTTCTCATGCAGCTAGGCCGAGAAAGACTTTTGGTGAAGACAGTGACTGAAGCTGGGGCGCAGCACCTACTGCAAAACCCAGACAACCCAGTCACCCCCAGCTCGACCGAGGGCAGCACTAGACAGCATCGCTCCTGCTTGTTCAGGAGGATTTACTCTCTAGCTCGGGAGAACCAGTGTGGAGTGGATGAGAGAGAAATGATGCACGTCATAACTGGTATTCAGGTTCTGTGTATTCAAATATACATGTGGAGAGTGAACATGGACACAAAGGTGTGCAACGCGGAGCAGACAATAAAAAAACCAAGTCAAGCATGGGGTGATCAACTACCTTTGTTTGGCACGCGGCATGAGCAAGAACCTGGGTGGGGGGCCAGGACAGGTGAGTCTGCACCGTGGCTGTCCAGATGTTACCTCTTTTGCCAGAGGTGAAGTGGTTGCCCCCAATGGGTTGTGTGTGTCTGCGGGGAGCCCTGCTAAGTGGGGAGCCAAAGAGTATGGGTGGGTGGAATGTATTCTGGCCCCCCAAATCTCCGGCCAACAGAAAGCAATTCCCTCTTCAGAAACCTCAGGTGAGGTTACTTACAGGCTCCTGACTCTATGATGCAGCAGTGGTGCCCACTGGGGAGAAATGGCCCCCAGGGGAGCAGGTGGGTTCAGCAAACTTTGGGGATCAGCCCTGTGTGGAGAGACAAGAGTGAAGAAATACAGGGTGGTGCTGAAGGTGTTAATGCTACTGCAACCTGACTCTACCCTACGGCATCCTCTGGGCTTGTCGGGGAAAGGGCCATAGAATGGAATGGAATGCTCTTTACCTGGAGGGCAGGGTGCAGCAGGACAGGGCTTGGACAGTGCAGCCACCTGCCTGCACCCTGTGTGTAATCTGCATGTTTCAGCATCAGGGTGCCCAGAAGGGTTTGCTACTCACCAGCGAGCTGATGACAACCCACAGGTTGGCATGGGTCCCTGCACAGAGAACAGAGGAATACGAGGGAATGCAAAGAAAAAAACAAGAGCAACAAAGCTTGATCTTAAGAAGTTTATGCAACCGGGGACATTTCTAGAAGACTCTGAAGAAACTCTAAGACAAAGAAATGGAAATCAGCATTGTCAAGTGATGACCGGAGGGCAGCATGGTTTCCCCTCTTTCCGTGCCCAGTTTCCCCCTCCTACCTAACAAACCTTGATACGAAGACCTCCTGCATCAAAGATGAAGATCTAGAAAAGTTCAGTCTAACTTTTGGCATGCCATATGAATTCAAGGGCAAGAGAAGGACAGGAGAGGTGGAAGGTGAAGTGCAGCCGAATGTACAGGTTATCAAGCTGACTGAGATAATTCTTCCTGCCCTCCTAATTCCACAGAGGCAGTCAATGAAAATGGCTGTCACCAAAATCAACGCCTTTCACAGCATAAATCTCTCCACCTCTCAAAACCCTTGTGTCATTCTGGGATTTTCACCATCAGCTAAGTTTACAAACAAATACTGGTCAAGAAGTGGCATATCTTAGAGAGCAAGTTTTCCTTCTAGAGCCCAGCGGGAATCTGTCTTTATCATGGTGCCCCGAGCCAGGCAGATTCTGGCCTTGTTAGTGTGACATCTTAAATAGCAATTTGCCATCTGTTTACATGCAAATGATTTGGGTCTCAGAGAAAAATCTTTATCCTTTTCTCCAGGCCAGAGTATTAATCATCAAATCAACAAATCATCTTGCTCTCATGAGGGAGACCTGGCCACTGGTCTGTTTAGATGCCATGCTTCCAAAAACAAATGGGTAAGTTTGCCAAAAGCCAAGAGCCACTTGTATTTGAAACCCTCCCTTCTCCGGCCTTTAACTGCATAAGAAAAATTTTGGCTTTCAAAAGTTTTCAAAAATATATCACTCTCACACACAGACATGGTTGAAAAACCATGAGCCTGCCATTGCCAATTTGAGAAAAAATTATTTTGACACAAAAATCGATCTACTACATGACATTGAATTTGGCAAAACGTATTGAACTTGGTATTTTTTTGGAGAATATGCTTTTGTTGGCTGAGGGAGAAGGGGAAAAAAAACCCACAGGGCTTTCAGAAATAAGGGCATAATCATCTTTTTAAGGGATTTCAATTGACCATGATAGTAAAACAAATTCCTATAAAGTAAAATAATGTACATTCAAAAAAGAAGGTGGTCAGGGAGAAAAAAGTTCCTGGAGAGAGGGTTTTTTGCAAAAACTCCACCCACTAGTTGAAACATGAACTAATAACCTTGTTCCTGAAGGCCCTGTCCCTGAGGGGGGGACTCCCCAGCACGGCAGTTTTAGGCCACCTAGTTTTGACCAATGTGAGGTGGCAACTCAGCCCCTCACCTCTGAAACGTGGCCTGCCCTCAAAGGCTTTCTAGGTTCACTGAATTAATCTGGCTGACCCAGCCGAGGGCAAGATGCCACTGTGGACAAGCTGCGGCCAGCAGTTTCCCTTCACACACACTGCGACTCCATACGAGAGAATGTAGTGGAAAGGAGGGGTGCTGGCAAGGACTAGGGTCAAGAGGAGTTTGGCCTTCAGATTTGCCCAGTTTCTTTCTGGAAGGCTGTGGGCAGCCTTGTGCTGTCAAATAAAACCAGGAGTTGGTAAACTGTTTTTGTATAGGGCCAGGGAATAACCATGTCAAGGAGCCCTGGGGGCGCAAGGGTTAAGCGCCTGGCTGCTAACCGAAAGGTCAGTGGTTAGAACTCACCCAGCGGCTCCACGGGAGAAGGATCTGGCAATCTGTATCACAGCCTAGAAAACCCTATGGGGCATTTCTACTCTGTCACGGGGTCGCTATGAGTCAGAACCGACTCGACAGCACCTAACAACCACAACAGTAACTGTCTTAGGCTTTGCGGGCCATATATGGTCTCTGTCACATTATTTTTTATAAACCCTTAAAAACGTAAAAACCACTCTTAGCTCACAGAACCGTATGCCGTAGTTTGCTGATCCCTGAATTAAAAACCTTTCTGCCTTTCTACCAAGTGTCTTCTCTCTTCACATTGTTTTCACATTCTGTCTCAGTGACCAACACCAGACGAGTCCCTTGACTCAAGCCGAGGCCACGCGTGGCCCGTGACTCACTGAGTGTCCCCGACTCTGCGGGGGCCCCCCCAGATCCAGCTCGGTCAGCAGGTCCCTCCTTCACCCCACCATCACGCTAGGAAGAGCCGGAGAGGAACTGGAAGCAGTACTTGCACTGCAGGAAGGGGTGACTGTAAACATCTGTGAGGCTTTTCAACAGGCTCATTGCCCTCAGAGGAGCTACTGCTGGGCTGCTCCTGGAGAAGGACTGGTAGGGATCCTCGCTGCTGAAATTTCCTTTTCTCTCCAGAGGTGAAAGGAGGTGGCCTAACAAACCTGAGTGTCAGGGCTCCTGGTGGGACAACTCTTATCCCAGAGCCACTACCCCTAGCGGGCACACTGGCACTTTCAAAAACTAAGCACAACCAATTCGGTTCAGCAGCAGTTTTCGTGGGCCCTTCCCCCCCAGTAGGGGGCAATTTAAACTTCCCTGCGTGGTGCAAATGGTTAAGCGCTTGGCTACTAAATGAAAAGTCAGCTGTTCGAATCTACCCAGAGGCTCCTTGGAAGAAAGACCTGGCGATCGGCTTCCGAAAGTCACAACCCTATGGAGCACAGTTCTACTCTGACAAATGTGGGGTCACCATGAGTCAAAATCGACTCAGTGGCAACCAAAAAAAAAAAAAAAAGAGCAACAACAACTGAGAACATCACGTACATTTCCCCCCACATGAGCCTAGTGCCAGCCAAACACACATCATGCGGCTGTAACACCACCACCAGGGCAGAGAACCTCAACTGCACGCATGACACCACAGAGCACAGTTAGTTCAACCACAGCGTTCAACGCCTTCATTCGACTTCACCTAGCAGCGCTTGGTACAGTCAAGTGAAAAGTTTTAATACTTTTTGGGGGTCCCAACCCGGAAAAAAAAAAATTCCTTTTTCTGGAAAAACCCTTTCCAACACAGCATTATTCCCTGGAATGAGCCGTGATCATTACCGTATTTTACAAACAAAAAGCACAGCAAGAACAGAGGTAGGACTTATGTTGCCATCCAAGAGTTTTCCCGCCAGGGCCTGAATGAGTAAGAACGGCGCGGGGGGTGCCCCGCGAACACAACGCCGTCGTCACAACTATTCTTCTGCATGTTGCAAAGGTAGTCTTTCTGATATGTGTGCTTATCTGGACATGCTCTTCTTAAAACATGATTCTTGTTGACTAAACATGTAGTTTGGTGTCTACTGGCCAACGGTTTCTGGCTCTCCCAGGCCCCATGGCGGCAATCTCCCCTTCTAACTTGTGCTGCATGTTAGTTATTTTTGTTTCTTCTCCTCTCTATGGCAAGAGAGGGGGAAGAGTTAGGACAACTTCAGTTTTTTAGAAGAAATCAAGACGTATGGGGCTGACCGGAATCCATAGTGAAGCTAAGGGAGGGATCATCTGAGAAGGTAAGTCCAAACACAGCAGAGTGGGTCAGCTTTTGCTCCCTTGCGAGGGGCTTGTCAAGTTTCCTGGGGCAGATTTCCCTGACGGCTTAGAGGTTGTGATTGTGTTCCTTGGGGTTGGCTGGGGCTCGTACAAGAAGGAAGACTCACTTAATTTGGCGTCCTGGGAGTCGGCGATGGTGGACACGTCAGCCTCACTGGACAGGTCTTCTGTGGAGAAGTTGAGGCTTCCAAGCTTGGCGAGGGAGTGGGAGCGCTTGAGCGGGGAGGAGACTGTGAGGCCAGCCAGCCGGAGCCGGGTCTCGATCTCCTGCGTCCGCTGCTTCACCAGGCCCGGCTTCCCTCGCACACTGTGGATGCTGTCACTGCTGGAGCTCCGGGTCAGGTTGGAACTCATGGAAGACGAGGTGGGGGTGTAGCAGATTGTCTTCAGAAAGTCTTTTGAGAAATGACTGGTGTGATCCAGGCGGCAGAGCCAGGGAGTGGGGCTCTTGAGAGAGGCTCCTTCCAATGGCGGGGGGACGGCCTCCGATTTCTCATCACTCCCAGCCTGGAGGAGCAAAGCCGGGGGCCCCGACGGACAGGGCGGAGCCAACTCCTGGTTTTCCTCGGGAATGCTGGCCTCCAGCCTGCTGGTAATGCCATCTCTGGAGGGGGATGCCATGTCTGCTGGCATGCTCTTCAACCTTTCTAGCTCTTTGGTGTGCTTGCGAACCAAGCCTGCCTTCTGCAGTTGGATGATGGATTCCTGGTGCTGCATCAAGTAGCTATTGGTTGCCGGTCTCTCGGATTCTTTACTAAACAGGAGGTGCAGGTCCTTCGCTGGCTTCAGGTCTTTCTTGGGTGGCGGCTCTTCTTTTACCACTTCCATGCTGGGAGGGGTCTTGTCACAGTGAGAATTCTTCAGAAGGAGGGACTTTGGCAGGGGTTTTTCAGTCTCTCTAGAAGGTTCCAAAAGGCTAGCTAGTAGGGCAGCCCCAGGCCCGGAGCCACTGGTGTCTGGTTGCCTGGCGCCTGCTGGTGGCAGAGGTGGAGGAGTCTCGGTTGAGCCTGAGGCCAGCTTCTCCAAAGCTCGGGACCTGCTGGATGTGTGGGCCACGGGGGAGGACGCGAGGTGGGGCAGGAGGGTTGGCTGGGTGCAGATGGCGGGAGCATGGGGGTTCTCACGCTGCTCCCCAAAGGCCTCAGGAGCCCCACTGGCTGTAGGATACATGCAGTCAGCACAGGATTTGTAGGAAGGCTTCACTTTGTTAAGGATCCCAAATATAGCATCGTGCTGAAAGGGGACAAGAACATCGTGAGAGAGGGTGCTAAGAAGCCAAAGACCAAAAAACATAAGGAAGACAACGGGTGAGGTTGGGGGCAGGCATGGAGAGGAAGTGCTCTGACTTCACTGGGTACAGGAACAGAGACCTCCAAGAACTTGCTCAGCTGTGGATAATGCAAGTGAGAGATGGGCTGGAGATGCACACCCGAACTTCCTGGAAGCTAGCTGCCCGAGATCCACAGCCAGCAGTCAGAATGAACAGGGCTTTCCTTCTCAACCTGCCCCTGCCACCTGTACTGTGTGACCTGCTCCGAGCCTTGGTCTCCCCTGGAACCCAGGGGTATCGAGCCCTACCTCGCACATTGTGAGAACTAAGTGAGACAGGGTTTCTGGCACAGTAGCTGTCTCTGCCTTTCTTTCCCGTTCAGAAAGGATTTGCTTTGGGGAGTCTGTAGCCAGACAACGGAAGCCTTCCTGTCTAGCATGAACGCAGCATGGTTCCAAATAATCATCGTCCAGCTGTGGTCTTTATAAGAGCAAGGGCCGAGGCCTAAAATGGTGTTTTGAAAGAATCCAACACAGAGCCCAACACAAGTGCCACAGGCCCCGACGGAAGAGTGAGTTAGGCCATGGTGGTTTTCATATCCCAGTGGAACATGCATTTACACTGCTTCCCAAGGAAAACCACTCTGCCTCTGGTGGTGGTGGTGGTTGTGTGCTGTCAAGTCGATTCCAACTCACAGCAACCCTACAGAACACAGTAGGACTGTCCCGTAGGGTTTCCAAGGTTGTAACTGTTATGGGAACAGATGGCCAGAACTTTTTTTCTACAGGGTGGATGGTGGGTTCAAACCACCGACCTTTTGGTTAGCAGCCAAGTGCTGAACTGTTGTGCCACCAGGGCTCCTCTGCCTCTGGTTACCAGGGGTCTAAGTGACATGACATATGTCTTTACCTCCCCACTCTGCAAACAGGCAGCTCAGCTGTGCACGTCCCTTATAGGCCAATCAACAGGGACATGAGCTGCTCGTCTGGACTGTGAGATAGAGCAAGAGGGAGCCAACTTTCTCCGAGGTGTTTGGCTGTGAGATTCCTAGGCTGGTCTAAAACGAAGCCTTCTTGGCAGAGGGCTGGGGCCTAGGTTTCGCACAGCAGTCCCCCTGCCAAGGGAAGCTAGGGTGATGCCGGCTGACCATCAGGGGCTAGCATCATCCTGTGTGGCAAATGGAGGTCCCCAGGGTAAGAAGGCTTGGGCTGGTCCAGCACTGCAGGAGCCAGAGAAGCTCAGCCATGACTCTGGGAGGCTATGGGGGCTTCTGGGGATGGGTGGGGTGTGCGGTAGGGGATGAAGTTCTTCTGCAGAGTCACATCTTAAATGGGATCCGAGGGCCAGCTCTGGGGCCCACCAGTGTGATGACCTCTGTCCTGGCAAATAACCTGTGGCCCTGGGTGTAAGTCTGAATTCTTGACCCAGAAATTTTTCTGGAGCTTTTACAGAAGTGTCTACATTTTCCTTTCTTCTAAAAACTCCCTGGGGCATGGGATTGACAGGCACCACAGAAGGAGATTTGAGAGATTATCTCTCAGAGCCCATGAAGGGGGTGGTGGGAGAGAAGTCATTCCTTCAGCACGCTCATGAACGCCTGCCGCCATGTGCCAGGAGCTGCCGCAGGCACAGGGCTGTGGACGAGGCACAGTCCCTGCCCTCAAGAAGCCCACTGTGCTCTGGTGGAACGGACCAGAAAAGCATGTGGAAAGTGCTAGAATAGACAGAGAAAGGCTTCCCAGAGGAACTGACATCTCAGCTGAGAATACTCGACATGCAGGTGTTGACTGGGTACAGGGGGGAGAGAGGGCACTGCAGGCAGGGGGAACAGAACAAAAGCTGTCACAACCAGGGGAACCCTCAAATCTACTGCCTGGAAACAATTTTTAAACCTCGAACCGAAACGATCCCATGAAGTCATCTTTAAACTAAACAACAGTTTAGCTCAATTAATCACGAAGGTTTGCCTTGAGCATCACGCTCTGAAGAATTGTCTATACGCGATCAAATGGGCAACAGTAACTCTAACGCAAAGACGAGGACTTTAAGGGGCAGGGAGCCTAAGCTAACGGTGGTGAAGCAATATGGGTAGATAATGAGAATGGTGACACATGAAGTGTGGAAGCTTTGCCATGGAATTGCACATGCAAAAACTGTTGAATGGGTGTGTGTTTTGTTGTGTATATTTTCACAGGATAGCATGCAGGGGCAGCAGGAGGCAGGAAGATAGCAGGAGGGGCAACAGGCTTCCCAAGTGCCTCGCCAGCGTGCTTCTCTCTCTCCCCTGTCCTCTGAGCATCTTCCTCTCAGTCTCCCGACTGCCACTCTCACCTCCCTCCCCCAGGCTGCTTGCAGACCATGGACAGACGGGTCCTGTCACTCTCGGGCTTGAAGCTCTCCTAGAGCTTCCTGTTGCCCCTGGGAAAAGGGGGCCTTGGCTGGAGGGCCCCAATGCCTCTGCCACCTCTCCAACCACTGCCCCTCAACCATGGCGTCCAGCTGGTTGGCATGCCAAACTTTCTCTGACCTCAGGGGGTTGGCACCAGCTGCGGCTTTGGCCCAGAAGGCTCTCTCCCTGTTCTGATGGCCAGCTCCCTCTCATACCCCTCCTCACAAGTTACTCTCCATCACGCCGCTTGCTTCTCTGCTGTTACACGGAGCAGGAGCTGCATTTGTCTGAATTTGCTACATCACTGCTTGTTTACATAAGACTTCCCAGGCATGGAGTGCTCTTACTCATAGCTGTACTCCTCACCACCCTGCACGCTGCAGTTCATAAAGATGAGTTAAATGAGTGCTCGTCTCCCAGATCTATTCCCTAGATATGTCATCGGTCAATCAAATTCTGCCTGGGAAAGGCAGGCTCCGTCCTTCATTCCACCTCCTACCCAGGCTTCCCTCCCGTTCATCACTCTATGACTCACAGCTATGCCACAACAGACTAACCATGGCACTACTATCCTGGACAAAGAGGTTTTACAGCATCTATCTTTCTGGGAGGTCCCTGGTCAAATAGTTTGTGCTCAACTACTAACTTGAAGGTTGGCAGTCTAAACCCACCTACCGGCATTCGGTGTTCAACCCCTGGTGGCGTAGTGGTTAAGAGCTAGGCTGCTAACCAAAAGGTCGACAGTTCAAATCCACCAGCTGTTCCTTGGAAACCCTATGGGGCAGTTCTACTCTGTCCTATAAGGTCTCCATGAGTCAGAATCGACTAGACAGCAACAGGTACCAGTTTTCAGAGGAAAGGTCTGGCGATCTGCTTTGGTAAATTACACTCAAGAAAACCTTATGGAGTTCAGTTCTACTCTGTCGCATGGGGTCACCATGAGTCAGAAGTGACTCAGTGGTAACTGTTTTTTTTTTTTTTTTTTAAAAATGGTATTGTGATTATGCTACATATTGGAGTATTTATGAATAAAATGATATATCTGGGGTTTATTTCAAAATAACCCAGTGTGTGGAGAAGTGGGCAGAGGGTTGAGATGAAACAAGAATAGCCACATAATAAACTTTTACCAAAAACACAATAACATATTATTAAAAAAACAATAGCCATCTACTGATCAACCTTGAAGCTGAGAGTTAAGTTATACACTTTACATCTTACATAATAAAAGAAGAAAAAGAAACTGAGTTGGAAGCGCTGTGCGAGATGCGGGCGCCTGGATGAAGACAGCCGGGCGTTAGTGCTATCCCTATCTGTCCCTGACCCCCGACATACACGCACTCTATGCTCCCATCAGCCTGCAACAATCGCTCTCTGAGATGCACCCATGGAGGCTGCAGTGCGAAGCGGAGCAGCAGGCAGGGCTGTGCAGGGCTGTTCTGTGAGGCAGGGCAGGAACGAGGTGGAGTGCTGCCCCCAAGCCGTGGACCCACGCCTACCTCAAAGTCCTCCGGGCAGCTCCGCTTGCTGTTGTTGTTATTTAGGTTTTCCCGGTTGAGCAGGTTTTTCTGGAGCTGGGTAGGGGGCTGCCCCCACCTCCCTGCTGCTGGGCCCTCCTCCCTTTCCATCTCCACCATCTGCAGCAAGGAGCCAGTCCGGGCTTTGGGAAACCCGAACTCTAGCTTCTTCTTCCCCTCCTTCTCGCAGAGTCCAGAGCCTTCCAGGGACTGCCTGGCAGGCATGCGTGCCTCTGCCGGATGAGCTGCTTCCTCCAGCAGAGCGTCCCTCTCCAGGTCGTCGAGCTGGACAGAGCTGTCAGTTTCATTGTCCGGGGAATGCAGGAGGTGGTCTGAGAGTCGCTGGAAACAGCAGGAGTCAGTGGGCCCTCCCAGGGCCCTGCCTCCTGGGAGCCCAAGCTGGGCGGTATCATCTAGGCCCGGCAACTGGGCTTCCAGGGAGTCGTCCAAGGCCTCTCGCAAGACGTCCCCAGGACCTGCAGGGTCCTCCACGGCCTGCTGGAGGCTGCTCTCCGTCTGCTGGCGCCACAGCTTGTTGTGCCGCTGTTTGCTGTTGGGGGAGAGGGCAGAGAAGGGTTAGCAGGAGTAGAGCGCCCAGAGGCGCCTGGAAGACACAGGGCAGGGAGCAAGGCAAGGGCCGTCCAAGGCTAGGCAGATGCCAGGTGCAGACCCCATGGCTTCTTCAGGTAAAGTCCCTTTTTACTCGTTTGTTCTGGAGAAAGGCAAGGCTAGAAGAAATTACCCTGGGACACTGTTACGGATTGAACCGCCTCCCCACAAAATCAGTGCTGGAATCCTAACCCCTATACCTGTGGATGTAATCCTGTTTGGAAATATAGTTTCTTTGTTATATTAATTAGATCATATGTGAGTAGGGTGGGTTCTAAATCTAATCACTTCTGAGTTATAAAAAACGCAGATTAAAAAAAAGATTAAGACTAGACAAATTCACACACACACATACACACACACACACACACACACACACACACACACACACACGCACACACACGCACACACACGGGAAGACATGCTTTTGAGGATGTCTACAAGCCAAGGAACCAAGGAACACCTGGGGCTACCGACAAGAAAGGAATCCACACCACCGAGACCCTGATCTGGACTTCCAGCCACCATAACTGTGAGAATATCAAGTTCTGTTCTTTAAAGCTACCTGTTTCTGGTATTTCTGTTACAGAAAACTAGAACAGACAGTAAATCATCATGGTTCATCCAAGAAGCCTTACATGACTTTCTGGTCCTGTTAGGACAATGTGGCAGATGCGTGACAGGAGTCTAGACTTGAAACCTGTGCATCTGTGTTTTAGCCCCACCTCCTGTCATCACCTTAGGCAGGTCACTTACATTCCCTCTCAATGTCCCTATCTGTCAAGTGAGAAGATTAATATTCTCCTATCTATATTGTGGGAGGAGACCTGGTGGTGCAGTGGTTAAGCACTTGGCTGTTAACAAAAACGCCGGCAGTTTGAACTCACCAGCCGCTCCATGGGAGAAAGATGTGGCAGTCTACTTCTGTAAAGATCAAAAATCATTGCCGCCAAGTCGATTCTGACTCACAGTGACCCTACAGGATAGGGTAGAACTGTCCCATAGGGTTTCAAAGGCTGTAAAGCTTTACGGAAGCAGACTGCCGCAACTTTCTCCCAGGGAGCAGCTGGTGGGTTCAAACCGCTGAACTTATGGTTAGCAGCCAAACACTTAACCACTGTGCCACCACATTACAGCCTTGGAAACCCTGTGAGGCAGTTCTACTCTGTCCTATACGGTTGCTATGAGTCAGAATCAACTTAATGGCAACAGATTTGGTTTATCTATATTGTAAGCAAAGTATGAGGATCAGAGCAAAGGAAAAAAACCTGATGCTGTCAAGTCGATTTCGACTCATAGTGACCCTATACGACAGAGCAGAACCGTCCCATAGGGTTTCTAGGGAGCAGCTGGTGGATTCGAACTGCGGACCTTTTGGTCAGCAGCCGAGCTCTTAACCTTTGCGCCACCACGGCTCCATGGGGATCAGAGCAAAGAGTATGTAAAAATTCATACACACTAAGATAACTATTGAAACACACATAACACACAGGAATAAAGTTTGGAAGATGCCAGAAAACTGAAAGTACTTGTTTAGGTTGGAGAGATTACAGGTCATTTTTTACAACATCCTTCTAGACAGAGGTATTGTTTTTTATAATACATTTTTCAAACACAAGGTTCTAAAAAAAAGAGAAAGAGAAGGGCTGAGAGTAAAATAAGGAAAGCAATTCACCTCCGGGAGCCTTATATAGAGCAATGCCAATATCTTGGGGTTGTAAGGGTTAAATGAAACAAGGAAGAGAGAAATAAATGCAAAAGCACAGTGTCAATTAAGGATCTGCTGCTATTCTTCAATGCAAGGGAGTACAATGATGATTCATTCCCATGCACGTTCCAGGCAAGGCCAAAAGGGCCCTCAGACTGGGCTGCAATTCAAGGTCAATGTTGTGCTGCATTGAACCTGCCCTGGAAGCACCTGGTTAGGCTGCAAAGGTCTTGGATAGGCCAAGGGAGAGGCAAGCAGGCTGCGTACCCCTCCTCTTCCTTCCCCTCCCCTGCCCCCTCTGGCCCGCCTGGGGATCTGTCCAGGACTCTCTGGCTGCCGGTGGAAGAGTCCAGAGATGCCAGAGCTGTTCTCTGGACCCTGCTGAACCCTGCCAGGGTGCGCCTGCTTTCCCAAACTTGGCTAAGAAGCTGGCAGCCAGGGCAGGGTGGACTTAGCCTGTGGCTTCCTTTCAACACCAGTCAGAGGTCTGCTTCTCATACACAGATGGACTAGGAAGGGAGCAGGGAGAGAGTGGGGCCCGAGGTGCTGGCTCCCGACTGGAGAGCCTGGTGTGTTGGGATCTTCCTGAGATCCCTGGAGGACCCTATGCGTGGGTGAGATCATCTCAAGCCCCCTTGCATGGAGCGTGCCCCGCCCTGGAGGCAGACAGGCCTGGGTGCATAGGTTCCTTTTGCTGTCCACTGGCTGTGTGACATTGGACATACTGACCTCTCAGGGTCAGCTCCTTATCTGCAAAAGGGGGAGAAGCTCTAGACTGCAGACCTTCTTTGGGTAGGGATAGAGATGTAAACGCCAGGTTTGTTTATGGAGTGTTTACCACATGCCAGGCCTGGCAAAGTATTTCTAAAGTTAAACTTGTACAGTACTCCTGCAAGCCTCACAACAACCTATCAAGGCGGTATTATAATTCCAACTCAGAAGAGAAACTGAGGCACCGGGAGAGTGCCAAGCTTGCCCATAGCTGCACAGCTGTCATAGCGGGACCAGGGTGGCCCCCGTGCATGCCTGGCAGCGAAGCCTGTGCGAGGGCCGGCACGAAGCAGATGCTCATGAAACAGGAGATACACACACCCCTGCCACACACAAGGCCTGGTCTTGGGTCAGAAATTAGGTGCCGCTCCTTCCAGCAGCCAAAAGCCTTGTATGCATGTGCCAGCAAAATCAAAATGGATCCGTCTTGGAAACCACTCATCAAATCCCAAACAATAGCTGTTTTTCTCCAGCCAGCTTCCCGCGAGAGGCAGGATTTTAGCTGGGGAAGCTGGTGCCAGGATGCACAGTAGCAAGCTCTAATGCCGACTGGCCCGGGGCTGACGTGGCTACAGGCTGCTCGCGCTCAGCTCTGCCAACCCTTTTCTCCAGACAGCCACCCACCCACCCACCTTGCGTCCAAGATGCCTTCATACTCAGACAGCTGCCTCATAAACCCGGCGTTGGGCCGCGTGATGCTGCGCTTCTGCTTCACATAGTTATATGCCTTTTCCAGAGGCCAGCCAAATTCCTTCATGGCGTAAGCGATGACAGTGGATGCTGAGCGGCTGACACCCATCTTGCAATGGACCAGGCACTTGGAATGGTTCCTCCTGAGGCGATGGGGAGGGGGTGAGAGAGAGTTAAAAATCTGAAACAACTTCTTTCTCTGACGTTTCACCCAACTGATTTTTTTTTTTTTTTTTTACACCCTGAAGTTCTCTTGTGGCCCAAATCCTCCGGCGTCCTAATGTTGATGGAGCAGACATCCACCCACCCTCGAAAGGAAATAGCGTAACCGCACTGCTAAATCAATTAGCGCACAACGGGAAAGCAAGATAAACCTGGCCTTTCCTACCCAAGTTTTCCAGGGAGAGCGCCAAAAGGGGGCTGCCTTCAGAGACAGAACGGGAGGCTTCAAAAACTTGCCGAGGGAAGCAAGTGGGCAGCTCCCGGAGATTTCTGCTAAAGAGACTCAGCTGCTCTCGTGGACTGTGCCAGTGAATGAGCTCCCGTCAGGAACGCAAAGCTGCAAGGCCCTGGGAAGAGTGAGCCACTCACCAGGCAGGAGGGTCAAGGAGCAAGAGCAGGGCAGGGTGGGGCGGTACCCTGACTTGGGCCAAGCAAGAACAGAGCCAGTGGAAGAAGATGGGGCCGATACTGTCTTTGTAAGGAGGTGGTACTGGCCCAGGAGTGGCTGATTTAACAGATAGGGCAAGATCAGGGAACAGTCTAAATGTCGCTTGCTCAAGAATGGCAGAGAATGGACACCACCTGTGAAACTTTATTTGTACAGCGGGTAGCCCCAGCAGCCCGCCTGTCAGGTGGTAGTAGGCTTGCTTCCTATACCCCATGTTTACAATGCTTCCCAAGTCTCAGGGCTTGTTTATGACTGCTGGTCTGGGGTCTCCGTCAAGGGCCCTGGCTCTGTGCCCCAGGAACACAAGATCTGGTTAGGACACATTATGTAGCTTTGACCCAGAAGGGTATAGGACAGAAGGTGGTGTTTCTCTTAAAAGCATTTCAGAGGGTTTATCGTTCTCTGTTCCTGACTGCAATGAAACAGAGCTGTTCTGTGGGAGAAGAACGTGAGGGCAAGGGAAGGGTGACACCAGTGACAGGCTCGGGGCAAAGGGGCTGTCCGCATCCTCTGACAGGTCTGCCCCATCGTACACAAACAGGAGGATCGTACTGACTCAGGGAGGGACAGCAGGCCACCAGCTCAGGGTGTTGGCCATGAGCAGATTTCTCTGGGGAGAGTAGTCCCAAAGGTGCACTAGGTCCCCATCCGAGACGGTTTTCTCCCTTCTTCTGCCTTTGGCTCAGCAACTCCTCAGGGGCAGAGCTCCGTATCAGATCCCTGCCTGGAACCAGTGCTGATGACGGAACGGGGGTCTAATGTTACAGTCAAGAATAGGTGGAGAGAACCAGGTCACAAGGGCCTTTATCTGGAGGAGACCAACAACTTCTCCCCTTTGGCACATGGGGTCCCGTGGCCTGAAGTCAAAGGTCTATCAGACATGGAAGCCCCTTCAAGCCAGCAGACTTGTTGAGTCTGGGATCGCCATTCATTGCTGTCCACCCAGCACCTGCCCACTGGTATCTCTCAGGACCTGTTTCTGTTATTCCTTCCTTCACTTACTTTGCTTTGTTTATAAAATGATATGCTTCGTTCCAGTGGGCGAGAAGGTCTGTGGTCTCTTCATCATAGACTCGGATATTATGGTATGCAAATAAGCCTGGGAAAAAATTATCTATTTCTCTTGTTACATTCAAAATGTAGTCAACGCTGCAATGAGAAAAAACAAATAAACAAACAAAAAAATTTGGAGAATCAGAACCAGGAACGACAATAAAAAGAAAACAGTAATAAAACACTGGGCAGAGAAAAAATAAAATGCACCAAAACATTAATAAAGGGCATATGGTTGCGGTGGGGCTTTTGTTTGTGCTTAGTAGTTATTTTTTTTCTTTTTCTATAGAATGAGAATGTATCACATGTACACTAAAAAACTCAAATTTCTTTATTAAAAAAACTTATAAAAAGAAAAATCATTTTAAGGTATTGCAAAGCAATATCGACTCTGGAGAGTAAATAAATGTATTACTTTCTAAACTCCTGGAAATTTCAAAATTTATAACTATCAGGGAGTATATGGAAGCTTCAGAAGAAACATAGTCTCCACTTGTAAACAGTTAAAAAGTAGAAGATGTCCACCTAGTATTTATACCCTTTGGAATCGTCTTAAATCCTTTTTAAAACAAGTCAATATCTAAATAAATAGAAACTTGACAGGATCTACTAACCCAGGTTCAGTATTTCTCTAACTTAAACCAGTACTTAGATTTTCAGAAGACCAAAATTAATTTCAGGACTTAGAAAGCATCGCAGACAGATTTGGTAACAGAATACTTATAAGTGCTTTAAAAAGACCTTTTAAAACCTGTCACCATTGAGTAGACTCCAACTCATAGCGATCCTAGAGGACAGAGTAGAACTGTCCCCATAGGGTTTTTCAAGGCTATAATCTTTATGGAAGAAGACTGCCACATCTTTCTTCTGCTGAGTGGCTGGTGGGTTCAAACTGCCGACCTTTCAGTTAGCAGCTGAACCCTTTCCCACTCTGCCACCAGGGCTTCTTGAAGACCTGTTAAAAGTCACTTACTTATTCCCAGCAAGATCGAGAGTATACACCGTATCACCACCCTACATTTCAAGAATACATTCTGCTGAAAGAGCACATCTTAATCAGTAACTCTCAAGATGTATTTTAAGATTTGTTTAGTCTTGATTTTTAAATGTAGTAATTCAAGAATGCCATCATGTCAGACCCACAGGACAGTGATGTTGTGGCTGTGTTGTTTTAAAAAAAAAGAATGTCCAGATATCTGTTGTTGAAGGTGCAGATTTAAAAATGTTTCATCCCTGCTGCTGAGCATTTTGAGCGCTCAGACTAAGACAGGCATATGTTTCTGGCCAGCACCGAGTCTTTAGCGGCAAGATTCCCACCAGGCCCAGATGTATAAACTTAGAAGCAGGAGTAGTTCGAGGATCCAAGTTATGCACTGCTAAAACGGACAACAGATACATGCGCGCACGCTGGGGATTCGCAGCATCTCCGCAGGGCAGCTTACGGGCATCCAGGCTGTCCTTACTATTTTGGTGTGATTTAGAAACGCCCTCTCTGACAGACAATCACACAGACCCCAGTCGAATCTGAAGTCGGTGAATTATTTAGGACGAGGCATTTTGAAGCACATCTGCTTAACAATGCAAATCAGCCCTGCCAGCCACCTGAGAGACCTGGGTGCCGGCAGAGCCAAGTGTTTTGGGGCTATCTGAGATGAGGGGAGACAAGGGGCGCAGACTCACCCTGAGCCCTGCAGCTCCTCCAGATTGGATGCATTCCATTCAGAGCCCTGGGGGACAGATCACACAGATCCGTGAGTGTCACGCCGGCCTTAGCGCTGCTTGCGAGAGGCACGCTTTGCCCTAGCCCTGGTGGTGGTGGCATTTCATGGGCCTTGGCCTCAGAGAACAGAGAGAACTAGAAGAGGCTCACAGCACAGGAGGTTCCCCAGGTGTTCACAGCATCATCAGTGTGTGTGAAAGGGAGGAAGGAAGAGGACAGGCCCTTGCTGGCCCTCAGGCCCTAGGGAAGGAGAAAGTATGGGAAGACACGCTCCCTGTCTCTTGCTTCCTTTCCTAAGATTTCAACATGGTCCTGGAACCAGAGGTAAAGACCTCTGACTTCCACTCAGGAAAGAGGTACTTTTACATGCCACTAATTAACACAGGGCTTGACATACTTTTTCTGGGAAATATTTTGGCAATATTAAAAAAGTTCACATCCTCTGACCAAGTAATTGCACTTACAAAAAGCTATCCTGAGGAAATAATCAGAATTCACGCGACATTTATGTACAAGGATGTTTACGGTTATTTATAATGACAAAACTGTGGAAACAACTCAAAAGCCCAGCAAAAGGAAATCAGTAACGTAAATTATGACTAATCCATATGATGGAATCATTAAAGTAAGTCATACTTTTGGAGAATATTTGATGACATGAGGAAACAATACATAATGAAAAACATAAAGAGAAAAAACAGGATATAAAACTATACAGTATGATTCCTTTTCTCTCTCTCTCTTTTTAAAGGAGTTATAGATGCATACAAAAAGGAAAAGACGGGAAAATAAATATGCCAAAACGTCAACAGTGATAACCTCTGGATTTTGTGGGATTGAGAATGCTTTTTATTTTCCTTTTCAGACTTATTTATACTTCCAGTCTTTCTACATGTGTTAACTGAATACTTTTTAAATGATATCATTAAGAAACAAACTCTGTTGCTGAGTGTTCCAAGAATGTGGAAGGGAAAAATGGGCACTTTGCTCTTAGGAAATGCAGAAGAACAGGAGAGCCCGGCCTAGTTTCCCCACAAACTTCCTTTCACAGAGGGCTGCTCCCGCGGGGCCCAGGGCTGCAGGGCCCCTGATCAAGTTGGCGATCTGTGGTGCGAGCTGGGCTTTCATATTTTAGGGAGAGGCCCAAACATAAACATTCCTTTAGTATCTCTCATGGAAAAAGTGACATAAAGGACCAAACCACACCAAGAAAATACGGAAAGCACCACTAAGGTTGTGAGTGTCCTTCTTGCCGTGACCGCCACCTAGTGGAGAGACAGGAGGAGGTACCTTCCACTGTTTACACCAGGAAAAGAATCTCCTTCTGAGATGGAAGACCAGTGCCCAGTGGTCCCCAGGCACCTTTCAAGATATACTCTTCAAAGCCACACGTTTATATATTTTATATATATGTGTGTGTACACACACACACACACACACACACACGGAGCCCTGGTGGCACAGTAGTTAAGAGCTTGGCTGCTAACCAAAAGGTTGGCAGTTCAATTCTACCAGCTGCTCCTTGGAAACCCTATGGGGTAGTTTTACTCTGTCCTACAGGGTCACTATGAGTTGGAATCAACTCAATGGTAACAGGTTTAGGTTTTGTTTTTTTTTTTTAAATATAAATATCCATGTAATTTTTTTTTCCATTTGCCAAAAAGTCAATTCTGACTCATGGTGACCCCATGTGTGCTCCATAGGGTTTTCACGGCTGTGACCTTTTGGAAGCAGATCACCAGGCCTGTCTTCCAAGGCTCCTCTGGGTGGGTTCAAACTGCCAACATTTCAGTTAGCAGCTGAGTGCTTAACCATTTGTGCCACCCAGGGACTCCCTTTAACTATACATCTATATCCATCTATCTGATATACATTTGGAGAACTATTAGTTACTTCCTACAGGTAGAAAGCACAGTCACTCATGTCTTCAGCAGCAAATACACCTCCTTAACTTCCCCAGCAAGCAATTTTTCCTCTAATAATAACAGTTACCATTTATTAGTGCCTACAGAAACTGGACTCAGCGGCTTTGACGTGCATCTTGTTTTGTCCTCATAATGACCCGTGAGGTGCAGGATGAAGACAAGAGGTGAGGGCTTGCTCCCAGCACAGCTGGCACTGGGGCCTGGCAGGTCTGATTTCCACCATGCCATGTAGCCTCTCTAATTTTAGAAATGTGCCTGCTTCTACATGGTCTCTCTCTGAAAACATGCTGGTTGCCTTCTATGGAAATTTACAACATCAACAGAATCTGAGCAAGAGATGGCGGTGAAGAGAATGGCTGTGCCTCCTGAGTTTCAGCACTAGGGCCTGTTCTCGCCATGGGCTCTGGGACGAGAGCAGAGAGTGGAGGGCTGGACGAGCCCAGAGGGGAAGCCGCGTCTCAGTTGTTTGCTGTGTCTCCCCCATCATTTCTGATGTTTTGGGAAGGCTTCCAGGGTCTGGCGAGTATGCTGCCTTTAGTAACTGGGGATTTTCAGCCCGCCCCCTACTGTTTGGAGGTAATGTGATGGGGTCCCTATGTTAATGCCTGGAAGAGACAAAGGTCGTGAGTCTGAGAACAGGTGCCCGCAGCTCAGCTGGGCAGTGCCTTGCCAACATCTGGCTTGAGAGCAGAGCAGCAGGCCAAAGAGGGTCGACGGGGGAGACCCTGAAGAACTGAGATCGAGGCCTCCAGGAACTTAAGTTCTGGGTCTGCTTTCCCCTCTTATTCACTGCCAGCTCCAAACAACTGAGGTCTGATTTACGCTCCCCAAACCAGATACTGCCGTGTGAAGTGCCTCTTACGAGATAAAGATGATCGAAGATGAGGGAGGGCTTGTCCATCTGTCCCAGAATAAGGAGCATCTCGTTGTCTATGAATTCCTTAAATTCTTTCAAGTTACAGTTCATCTGTTTCTCTAATTCGTTACGTATCTGTGGAGCGGAAAATATCAGGAAAAGCAATTTGTTAAAGAAAACAGCTGTCCACCTATGAAGAACTAAAGCCGCAACGCAAACAGCTTTCAAAAAAGGTGGTGTTTTTTTCTGAGGCCCTTTTTCACTCAGACACACTCAAAGGACAGGCGTGGGTGGTGGGAACGCAGGCTACTGGCTTAAAACTAGATTTCACTGGGGAGGTTTATTATTCCACATAATAAATGTGATTCCTGTGAGATCTTTCCTGCTAAATTTAAAATATCCATACTTGTACAAGTCAGTGTCAAGTACATATATCACACACTCAACACTGTTAAGTGAAAATCTAAAATCCGTTTCATCTTGCCTCAGGAGGTATCACAATATGATTTTGTTGTTATTTGTCAGCTGGCAGAAAGGCTGTATGTGACTTTTTAGAACGGCAACCTCAATTTCTCAGATTTACCTCGTTTAAACTGTTATTATAATTTAATGTATTCCTTGAACAAATAGCAACTGAAAAAAGAAAAAAAAGCGATCCATGGGAACTCTCTGTATTATACTTTCTGCACATATTAAATATTAAAAGGCAGATGGAGAGCTGTCCAGGATTCACAACTTGTCTGTAAGTTGTAATCAAGTGGAGAAACAAGTGTTTGCTGCATCTCAAATAAAACAGAAGGCGGTGTGGGGCGGAGGAGGAGAGGGTACTAACGTGTAAATGCTTCTAGATGCAACCTACGTACCTCACTGAATTCTCACAAAAGTCTTGCGAACTAGGCTCGGAGAGGCCAAGGAATCTGCCCGAGTCTCTTAGATGGTAAGCGGCAAAGCGGGACTTCAAGGGAGTCTAACTCCAAGGCCTGCGCTCTTTGCACTGAGCCCCGCTGCCTTAGTAGAAGGAGGTGGGAACAAGCCCCTGAGAGCTGATGGGCAGATGGGGGAAGCAGATGGGGGCTGGGCATGCTTCCGTCACGCTCTTGGAGCAGGACAAATGAACGCTGGAGGACCTCGGCCTGCTAGGAAGGTGAGTTCTCTTACTTCTTTGGAGGTCACGTTCTCTAGATCCTGGCTCATCATGATGCTTCGGAGTTTGGCTTTGATGAGGCGCTCAGTCCTCTCTCCCTCAGTTGGCCTGGAAAGAAATTCCCGTTAGGGAAGCCCAGAACTATAGAGAGCCTATGTCAGAGCTGACAGAAACCCCAGATGCCCCTGGGTCTAAATATAATGTAGTTTGGGCATGCAGAGCTCCTACATGTGTGTTCTCGGGGTGGCAGAGGAGAGGAGAGGTACACAGAAAACCCACCCCATCTCGAGAATTCTCACAGGGGTCAACAGAGTGGAGAACAGAACAAGAGGATAGACAACGGTTTGCACACTCGCCCCTCCAACAGATCCTGCAGAGAGGCCAGTATAGCATCCCGACGCCACGGAGCCCTTCGGTCTCTGATTAAGGGCAACTGGGCGCAGGGAAGCCACTGCGCTTGTCCCAGCTGTGTCCAGCTCCCATCAGCACCTTCTTACAAGGAATTAAAATCTATGTTTCCTGTTAACTTCTACACATCAGCCCTAACTGTAGGGGCCACAGAAAACCAGTAACCAGTTACCATCGAGCTGACTCCGACTCATGGCAACCTTGTGTCAGAGTAGAATTGTGCTCTGTAAGGTTTTCAATGGCTGATTTTTCAGAAGTGGATCACCAGGCCTTTCCTCTGAGGCACCTCTTGGTGGGCTCAAATTTCCAACGTTTCAGTTAGCAGCTAAGTGCGTTAATCATTTGTACCACCGCGACAGAGACCAGGATAATCCTTCTTCCACGTGACAACCCTTCAAAAATTCACAGGAAATTCACTTTTCCCCCGGCCCTTCTCGCTTCTCTCAGGCCTTGTATAACATGGCTCTGAGTCCTCTCCTTGTTCAGGTTGCTTCCCTCTGAACCAGCTGCTGTCAAGTCAATTCCAACTCACCGGGACCTGCGGTGCGATTGATTACTTTTGTGTGCCGCCTTTCTAGTCATGGTCTTGTAACTCCGACCCAGGTGACTGGGTGGGACTGACTGTGTGATAAGGTAATTGTGGCCCACCAAGGGGATTGGTCAATTTTGCCTTAAAAAGAGAGCCAATTCCTGAGCAGAAAGGAGGATCCTACCACCACCAAGGAAGAACAGCCAGGAGCAGAGAGCGTGTCCTTTGGACCCAGGATCCCTATGCTGGGAAGCTCCTGGAAGCAGGAGAGAGGGAGAGCGAGAGAGAGAGAGAGCAAGCTGTAACCCTGAAGATGGTGAGAAGTGACAGCAGGAGAGATGCGGCAACAGAGACTTGGAAGCAGGAGACAGCGAGGTGAGCCTCCTGGCCCACAGAGAGAGAAAGCTGAGTGCCTTTGGGCAGAGACTGAGGGCCAGGGAGAAACATGCCTGCGAGCACGGCTGAGAAGAGGCTGTCCCGATGAAAGAACTGTATCCTGAATGTTCCTGAGCCTGAACTGTAACTGTTACTTCCCTAAAAAACCCCATACTCATCAGTATGGTCTGTGAGTTCTATGTGGCCATTGCAATGAACTATCAAACCTAGCAGAGAAGTAGAGACCCCCATGGGACGGATGGTTGGTGTCAGAACTGGTGAAGATGGTGGAGAGAGGAGGCGTGTCTGACCTCTGCCTCATGGGAATCAGCCTTGGGCTGTTGATCTTGGTTCTCCTTCCCACTTGTGGGGTTGGAGGAGGTCAGACACCGCCCCTGAGCCGTTTTTACAGGACCCTATGTGTGTCAGAGTGGAACTGGGCTCCACAGCACTTTCAATGGCTAACTTTTTGAAATTAGATCTCCAGGCCTTTCTTCTGAGGGACCTTTGGGTAGATTCGAACCGCCAACCTTTTGGTTAGCAGTTGGGCGCTTAACCATCTGCACCACCCAGAGACTCCATTCCCCTCTGAACACCGTGTAGTTTGTCCACAGTCCTCTTAGAACGTGGTTTCCCAGAGGAAGACAACAGTCTGTAGGGAAAGGGAGACCTAGACCAAGAGAGAAGGGGAGAACGGCTCCCTTCTTGCACTAGGCTTTAATGAACGTGGCCTCAGATCACCTTAGCTCTGCTGGTGGCCACAAGACGCTCCTGATTCACTGTTGCTGCTGCTCAGACAGGTTGCCTTCAGCTTGTGTTTGTACAGTTGTATTTTGAGATCCAAGGAACAGGACATCTTGGAGCCTGCCTTCTTCCTCGGAGTGCTGCACAAATGTTCCAGGGAAGAAGGCAGGCTCTAAGACGTGCAGGTGCAGAGGAGCTGTGGATGTGACTTATTTCACGCAGGGCAGTCTTCACCCACAGCTACCTCATCTGAGGAACAGAATTCACACTCCAAATTCTCCTAACAGCACAGGAAGAGGCTCTGGAACATCAGTCTTTGGCAACCTGGAGGGAAGGCCAGACCATAAAGCACTGCCAAGGAGTCAATGAGATATGTGGGTGCTTTGAGAAACTGATGAAAGTTATGGACCTGCTCCCCAAAGATGCCCTCACATGCAAATTTGCCTAGAATTTTAAAAGGGGATCACAGACCTTTCCCCGACTAAAGACACCCCATGGGCCCTGGGTTAGGAACCCCTGCTTTAAATGCTGGATCTGTGAATAGTGGCCCTCAGTCACAACTCTAAGCACGGACGTCCTGTGCAAACTCGGGGTTCGGGGCACAGAATGGGCCTGAAGGAAGCAGGTGTCTGTGGGCCCAGGTGCGCTCACCCGGAAGGGCGTGTCCACACTTACTTGTCCACGAACAGGGCTGGGGAATCGGGCCGCGTGGACTCCAGGTCCTGCATAGCGTTCCACTCATTGATGCAGCTCTGTTCGGAGCCGATGCAGCTCTCGTAGTAGGTGGCCCAGATCAGCGCCACGCCTCCAGGGAAGTAGTTGTGCCTCCGGGCCACTTCGCAGGCCTTGTGGAGGACCTGCAGGGCAGACCTGGGGTGAGAAGGCAAGAGGGTCAGGCCTGGGAGGCAGAGAGCACTGGCTGTCCCCTCCAACAGACGGTTTAAATGGGGTGGGGGAAGGGCAGGTCATAAAGGACTCATTACTAGATTCATCCTTGCATAGAAGGGTGGGTGGAGGCTACTAACACAGCTAGTCTCCGTGACATATACACTGAGTCAGAGAGCAGACAGAACACCCTTCACCATTTCCAAAATGGGGGAAAAAACTTCACAACTCTCCCAGATCAAGCTGGTTCACTTGTTATTTTTAATTCCATCATTTAACTCCAAAGAATTAAGATCTACTTCTCTGAAGTTGGGGTGAGCTTAAACAGAGGAACCATAATGAAAACCAAAAGTTAGAAGGTATCTTTAATACGCAGCAGACGTTTTACTGTATTCTAAATAACTGTATTTCTAAACCCTTCCGCCCCATCAATGTGATAATAGCGTTGTTGTTGTCATTGCCATCGAGTCGATTCTGACTCATGGCGACCCCGTGCGTGCAGAGTAGGATTGCTCCATTGGGTTTTCAAGGCTGTGACCTTTCAGAAGCAGACCGCCAGGCCTTTCTTCCAAGTCACCTCTGGGTGGGTTCAAACCATCAATCTTTTGGCTAGTAGTCGAGCTCTTAACCGTTTGTTCCACTCAGGGACTCTGATAATAGCGTATATACTTAGATTTCCTAAGGAAATGAGTTCTTGAAACTCATTTTAACCCAGAAACTCACTGAAGAAGAGGCCTGGAGAGGCACAGTGGGGGCAGAAGAAACAATGTTGAAAGTGTAAATATTAATGGTCAATTCAGTCACTCTGGTTTTACCTCATTACAAAAATACAGGTTGAACGTTTCTCAGATGTAGAGTGATCAGAGAATGGCTCACCATTGGATAAAATACACTGCAATCCACTCAACCTTCCCAGGTTTACGTATTTGTCTCTTCTCTAGGCTGGCTGAGGGAACAAACTGGAGCTGAGTGCTAAATTTAGTTCTAGTCTAGAAGTTTTTTGTTTTTGTTTTTTTATATTTTATTGTACTTCAGGTGAAGGCTTACAGAACAAATAGTTTCTCATGAAACAGTAGTACACATGTTGTTTTATGAC